AAGCGAAAATTTAAAAAACATTAAATTAATAATTGAAATCATTGTTGGAGTTTACATGCCTATGTCACGGCTGTTTCACTCAATATAAAAGCGAGCCTGACGTCACGAGTTTATCAAAAAAAAAAGTATTTCCGCATAAAAAGTATAAAAATTCATTAACTTTAAAATAATAGTATTTTTTTTCTATAAATGCTTTCATCTTCAAATAAAAAAAATATAAAAGATCTATCTTTCCTTGTTAAATAAACATTTACATTAAACGGAATAAAAATGAAAGCTGTAAAAATATTGTTAATAATTTGGCATCACTTTTCTGATTTTTGCGATTTTTACGCAAAACCTGTCTTAGGCCAACTAAGATTTGATAACATAGCTACATGGTCGATGGTTGAAATTTAGAACAGTTATTAATGAATGTCTGTTCTATCTAGATTTCCACAGACTTTGCAAGTTTTTATATAGAAAGTTAGTTTTTAATGCATTTATATTTTTGTTTTTGTTCGTTTTGAATAAAAAACATAACATTTTTGAAAAGTCTGTGGATTTAGTAATACTTCCTTATATTCAACCTTATATGAATAAGAAAATCAAAAAATTATTTTCTGTACCTCTAGCTATGTTATCAAATATGTTTTCAAACTTGGCATGTTTAGCGACATTTTTTTTAGTTTTTTTTGCATAAATTCTTGCTTACATTTTAAAGCGGTGACGCAAACTCGGATCGTTACGTCCCCAACGATTATCGGATGCATTTTAAGAAAACAAACAAAACAAACGAGACACATTTTATAGAATAAATAACAAAGTTTCGCGGATTAATTTCTCTTGGATATTTGACTAATTTCAGATAAGTTGATTAATCCGATTTTATCTAGTGCATCTATTTGTCAATATTATTCTATTTAAGTTGTTTGTATTATAATTTTATTACTATATCAATAAAGATTATAAAGCAAAGTTTCGTGGATTATTTCCTCGTGGATATTCGACTAATCTCAGATAAGTTGCTTAATTCTTTTATTTTTAGTGTATTTATTTGTAAATATTATTTTATTTAATTTCTTTTATTATATTATTATTATAATATCATTATCATTATTTATGTGATGTATGCAACTGAGAGGGAAATTTTGAAACTGTACATCGGTTGGGAAGATGGTTGGGAAAATGAGTATAACTTTAATTTTGTAAAGCGAGTAATTGACACTAGTAAGATCACTAACAATGTGATTTCAATTTTATTAACAGTTTTTCATCCAAAAGCGTTGTTTACTTTTTTAAGTTTTCTTTTGCCAATTGAGTTTAATATGCCTAATATTGATGTGTTAAATAAAATGTGCCGAAAAATAAAACAAAGAAAAAAAGATTCTAAAAAGTATTTTGAAGCTTCAAAAAACGAAGCATTTTTTAAAATGCAACTGTCTCCAGCTCCAGAACATGTTACTGTAAAGTCCATGTTGCTTTATCCATCTGCGAATGAAGCACCTTGTTTAGTACCTGTATTGATGGTCAAGAATTTGATAACTTATATTGAAGAGGTTTTCAATAGTCTGCACGTTCGTGACCACTTCAATTCTGATGTCGGTTTTTGCGAAGAGGTATGGCTCCTTTTTGCTGGGGATAAGGGTGGGAAGTATATGAAATTCCATTTTGAAGTTGTCAATTCTAAATCATCAGGGTCTGTATATGATGTTCATTTATTTTGTATGTATCAGGGTTCAGACTGTCGTGAGAATATTGCCTTAGTTCTCGGGCATTATGCCAACGACATTAAAAGAATTCAGTCGTCAGATTTTAAGCTAAAAGGCAAAATAGTCAGGTTGTTCTTAGGTGGAGATTTTCATTTTATCGATGATGTTCTGGGACACCAGGGTTCAGCTGCTAGCTTTCCTAGTTCTACAGACCTAGTTAAGTTGAATTCTCTAAGAAACCATGCTTCTATGCCTCACACACCTGCTGATTGTAACATCTTAAGGAGGACAATACAATCTCTGGAAAGTGCTTACAATGAGAACTTGTGTGAAGATAGACAAGGTGGAAACCTAAGAGCTCTAGGTAAGTTTCATAATTCAATTATTGCTCCTGTGATTTTCCCCATAATAACTTTAGATAATGTAGTGCCACCTGTTTTGCATATTATGTTAGGAGTTGTGTTAAAACTTTATAAGTTATTGTTGAAGGAGTGTAAGATTTTGGATTGTCAAGCTGTTTCGTCTTTGTCGCATAATGAGAATGTGAGAACGAATGAATTGTGGGCTGCTAAAAGCTTTGAATGTTCTAAAACAGCAGACTCTTTACGTTTATTAGGAAATCAATTTGTAGACGTTGCAAATCTACAGACTCGTTGGTTAGCTTTTGATAAAAATATTTCTGAATTGGAATGCATATCTCTAAACTCCTCCAATAAAAAAAAAACCTGTAAACAGCAAGAAAAGTGTGCTAGTATCAGGTGTTTAATTACTAAATATGATTGTAACATTGATTGGGTGCAGTGTGGTACGTGCCAAAAATTGTTCCATCAATTTTGTGAAATTATTGGTGGTTCGGAAAAGAATGTATTGTGTGATATAGAGAAGTATGAGTGTTTAGCATGTCAGGGTGAAGATTTAGAATGTCTTGACCTTTATATTTCTGAAAAAATTTCTTTTATACGCGCACAGCGCGAAGTTTTAGACGTTGAGTATATTCGATTGCAGATAGAGTGTGAAGACCTAGAAAAAATATCAATAAGTAGCATGGGGACTCATGAGAGGTCTCTTTATAAGGCCCTTGAAGATATGAAAGTTGAGCGACAAGCTTACCATGGTAATGTATTTGTAGGTAATCATTGTAAAATAGTATTAAGAAACCACTATAAACTTTGTAGTGTTATTGATGATGAAGCAATTAAAAATAGATTTGTACGTGTGTTTAGTGTTTTTAATAACTTGCAACCTATTCTTTTTAAGCGAAAATTTCTTTCTGATGCCGAAATTTCTGAGCTTCATCAATATATAAATTTATTTGCTATTGAGTTTCATGCTTGCTTTCCAAAAGAAAGTATCACGCGAAAAATGCATGAACTCATTTTCAATGTGCCACTATTTGTAAAATTGCATAAAACTATTGGGTTGCTGAGTGAAGAGGAGGGAGAGTGTTTGCATAATAGCGTAAATAAGGAATTAAGGCAGTTGCATTCAGTTAGAAATCAGGAGCAAAAGCTGCATCTTGTTTTAAAACGCTTTGAATTGCACAGCAAAGCTGATAGGAAGCTTCAAGCCTCTAAGGTGAGAAAGTGTGTTGTGTGTTCAGAGCGTGGCGAAAATTCATTTTATAGACAAGGTCTTTGTCTTGTTTGTGGTCATCAAATTTAGTTTAAATGTTTGAAAAGTTAAAAAAAAAATTAAACTTTTTACATCTAAGATAAATTATATAAGATCCTTAATTTACAAATAAGAGAATTCTATTCTGTTTTAATGCCTGTAATGTTTGTTCAAAATAATAATAATTTTTTATTACAATGATTTTATATATTAGGTAGATGCCCATTCTGTTCCTATTTTCAAAAGTTTATTATATCTATGCAATGCCTTTGCTCAGGTTAAAGAATGGAATAAAAGTCTAGCATCAAATGTATAGCTAACTATTTTAATTTGTGATCAGAGCAACTGGTATGTTTGTTGGATATGATTTTGTATGTTTATGTAGTTAATTCAAAAAACGTTTTATCCTTTGTTATGTAATATGTAACATTTTTTATATATATTAGATCTCCGTTCAATTTTTATCATCAAAAGTTAGTTCTACCTTCGCAGGACCTCTGCTCTACATACCTCCTCTCTGGTTAAAGAATGGAATATAAGTCTCATTTATCAAGTTGGTGTAAAAATTTAGCTTGATAAATTAAGAAGTTGTAAACTTTATTATCACAATTGCCAAGTTGACCAAATGTTCTTCTGGTTTTAAATGAATTATGTATGAGTCTAGTATCATCTGGGTGTTCAAAGATAGTTTACTGCTTGAAGAACATATCAATGGACCAACTAATTATAAAACAGTTTTTAATGAAAATAAAAACGAATTATCAAAAGATTTAATTCAGCTATTTGTGTATATTTAAACACTTTATTTTTTGTGAGAAGAGATTATTGATACAAGTACCATAAAATAATTCTACTACCAAAAGCTAGGTTAATTCAAAACCTTTAACTCAATTTTGGTCATGAATTATTTTATTAGAATTGATGAGTTTTTATTTATTAACTACCTAACACCATATTATTAGAACTTTATTTTGTAATGTAATGATTTTATCAGCGTTCCAAAATAATTTTCTAAATCAAGAACTTCTATATTAAAAAAAGTACTCATTTAACAACTAATCCCCCCTTATAACGACGTTTTTCATAATTTTGCGAAAAATGTGGTTTGCTTTCACAATTCGATTAAGGCTGTTTTAGTTAACCTTAAATAATTAAGTAAGGTTTTTTTGTTTTCATTATTGTCAAACAATAAGTGTATTTGATAATAACTATTAGGAATATATTTTTCTATTTTTTTTTTGATAAAAAGTAACATCAAATTACAAAAATTTAGCCAAATTCAATATATGTCATATTTATTCAAAACTAAAAGAAGTTTTTCTACTAATGCATTAAATGTCATAAGGTAAAACATTTTATTGATGTCTTAATTGTTTTTACAAAACAAAATTACCTCTTATATTTCAAAAGTTATAAAAGTTTTAGTAACACTTCTTTAGTCAATATTTTCAAAAATTAACAAGAAGCCGTTAAGCTCGGTTTGAAACAGCCGTGATTTGGTTCAAAATTAAAGTTGAGCACAAAAAAAATTACAATGGAAAAAATCAATTTTATTAAATAAAAAACTAAATCAAAGAAAAATGACTATAAACGGATGTCTAGGTCTAAAATGAAAATAAAACATTATTTATACCTAATATAATTTTCTTAATGAAAAAATAAATATCTATATTTCAACATCAAAATTTTAAACCTCATTTGTAATTATAATAATTAAAATAATTATAACATCAAAATTTTAAACCATATTTTTATAATAATAATTTAAAATCACAAAAAATTGAGTAGTGTTTTAAATAGATGAAAGACGTTAATTATTGCGTATAAATTTACGCTATTTACACAGCTTTCTTTTATAACCTCATAAAGTCAGTTCAAAAAATACAATGCAGCTTGAACATCACTGCTCGCAACTTATCTTTTGGTATATTTATATTGACTCGGTGCTCAAATTACCCGAATCTACCCTATAGAAAAATTTTACTACATTCTTTCAAATAAAGTCAATAACAAACTTTTGACCTTAATATAGTAAAACATTTACATCTGATTTTTAAAAATGTGATTTACATAATTTTTAACTGCACTGTTAAAAAAAACGCGTTTTTTACGGAAAAGTTCCGGCAGCTGCCAATGACCAAACTACCCGTTATTTTACGGAAAAACTCATCGCATGTAAACGGATGTTTCCGTTTACAAACGGATTTTTCCGTTAAAATACAATGGGTTTTTTCCGTTAAACAACGGGTAGTTTTAGTGTATTATGAATATTTAGTAGTTTTCGTTGTTAATTTTTGCTCAAAAATATCCTGATTGCCAGCTTGCGCATGTTACAATTATAGTTAGTAGAAACCATGTAAAAATGACAATAAAATTTTAATAGACTAATGAATATTGAAAGTTTTTGTTCTTTTAATTTCATTGCAGGAAGGTAAGTCGTCAGGTACAGCCTGCCAATACCTAAAAAACAAAGATTAAAAATTAATACTGTCCTATCAATTTATCATACATATTTTCATTTAATTTGTAAATTCTATTTCATAAATCGACACACACTGTAATTTGCATAGCTTAAACAGTAGGGAGTGTCATACTTTCCAGATTAAAAACCCTGTATTCTAAAAACTTGTACTTATATATAATTTTACTAAAAAGAGCTTTAATTTAGTAATTTGAAGTGATTTAGCTACCGAAAGTCGACGTTTAGTATTCACTTGAATTCACGGAAAATTTCTTACTAGAATAGTAAGTTTTTGCTTGTGGTTACTTTTTTTTTGTTGGATTTATTAATCTAAATATATATATATATATATATATATATATATATATATATATATATATATATATATATATATATATATATATATATATATATATATATATATATATAGACATATATATTAATATAGACATCAAACATAATAAAACATATCTCAAATTAAAAAAGTTAGTTTACCTTTAAGAATCCTCATCATTGTCTTTAAAATATTCTCAAAAAGAAAAGTTTTTATTTTATATGTAAATTACATATAAATTACATATTAATATTACATTGTAATAAAATATAATAAACGCTGTGGATAGAGTACCGAAAGTTTTAACTTTTAATAGCGCGTTTATTGGTTGCTAAAGATCACGTGTAAAAACAAATCTCATTTTTATATAGAGAGTTTATATAGAAACTTTCGGTACTCTATCCACGGCCTATAATAAAATCAGCTTATGTAAAGATGAAATATCCTCGCAGTCAGAAAGTCACATGGTTATGCAAAAAAACAATAGCGCGAGTTGTTACCATCTTGGATGGGGGAAAACAAATGATTAGTTGACATAATAAAGCAGGACAATTATTACGAAAAAGTGATAAAAGAGTTTAAAAAAAGAAATATCGGTTTACGAATACTTCGAATTATTAGATTTTAACGCCGCAAAAAGGTATATAATTAAATTTGCAATCCTTGAAATCAACCGATGTCTATACAAGTTCCTTGCAAATACTTGGAAAGATGATCAAACGGAATGGCCATGAGTTCAATACCATGACGTTTATAATTATTTATTAAAAAGTCTTTAAATATTTTTGAGGCTATAGGTAATTATGAAGTTTTTCACAAGACATTAGGCTCTAGTTTTTTTTGTTTTAAAAACACAAGTTGTCGGACTTGTGCGTTTAAAACCACAAAACCATCTTAGTCACCAGAGTTGATTAAAAATAACAAAACCATCTTACAAAACATATATATTAAAAATCACTTAAAGACACAACAACCCTTGCCATTGTTTTCGTTTCATAACGAAAGTTTATTTTCCCCAACTAAAATGGTAGATGTTCGTGGCAAAGATTATGACGTATTTCCGACTCCGAGGATTGACAAACAAAATAAAAAATAAGAAGTAAAAAAATACCATAAAACTAACCAAAGAATTTTATCTAAATATAATTTTCACAAAAATATATTTACATTTCAATTAAATAATTATGAAATGTGCAGATAATTCAATCGTATGTATATTCAGAAGATAAATTTTCTTGGATATTTACAAATAGTAATAAAATAATAACTTTAAACACCATTTAAGTATTTAACATTATAAGTATACATATATATATATATATATATATATATATATATATATATATATATATATATATATATATATATATATATATATATATATATATATATATATATATAAATATATATATATATATATATATATATATATATATATATATATATATAATATATATTTTTTTTTTTTTTTTTTTTTCCAACAAAAATATCCGTGTTTTAAACTTTATTTTAAAAGAAGGAAAAATTCCGTTCAATTTTGTTCAATGGATAGTTTCCGTACAAATAACAAAAAATAATTCCGTAAATGTACGAGAAGTTTTAACAGTGTGAAGTGTCATATTTCGTATCATAAATTTTTTTACCTTTAATGTTAAAAATATTCATCATAGTTTAATTAAAAATCAAACATACATTGTATTTTCGACAAATAAAAACATCTTAACAAACAAGGTTTTTAATTCAGATATTAAAAACTTCCATTAATTCCATTATTTAAAATTCAAAACGTTTATTTCAAGTAAACTAATATGTTAAAAAATGTGTGGATATAAATACTGCTATAATTTTTTTGTATAAATATATGTATTTGTATGTGAAGATGTTTGCATAAGAAGTAACTTCTATTTTGTGTGAGGTAAAATTATGTAATATTTACAGTTTTTATTGTTGTTAGATTTTTTAAATTTTAAAATAATAAAAAAAAAAAAGGAAAAAAAAAAATTCTGCCACTTTTAATTGCTTTTTTTTCCGATCTTCAAAGGTGTCTGTCAGAACTGAGCTTACCGGTCAGTTCAAAGAAGACTTTTTTTTTTAAGACTAAATATTTTTACTATACTTTAAAGTATTCTGTAGAGTAACAATAATTACTTGATGTTTTTCACAGGTACCCTGAAGGTGACCTAAGACCTTATATCGTATCCCATGAAACTTTTCTTTTGATTTTGAAAGAAGTCCACATTCCAAAACTATCAAAAGTTCGATTATTTTTTGTTAGCTTTTTAAGAAAACTAATTTATAAGACTTGTTTTAACCAGGGGCCAATGCTATAAACAAAAAAACGAAGTTTTTACCGTAAAACTCGAAATTTTTTGCGCACCACCCGGAGGTTTTGCGTAAACAGCAAAAAAAAAAAAAAAAAAAAAATGAAAGAAAGAACAATCAATTGTTATCAATTTATAACAATATTTAGAGCAATGGATTGTTTTTTTTGATTTTTACGCATAATCTCCGTGTGGTGCGCAAAAAATTTCGAGTTTTACGGTAAAAACTTCGTTTTTTTGTTTATAGTATTGGCCCTTGAGCTTAATGCCCCTCTGACTCACCCTAAGACCCTGCGAGTGGATCAAATAGTTGTATATAATATGTTTGTTTGTTTGACCTATTGGATTGATTCTTTGAGAAACATATATAGAAATAACTTCTGATAACAATTTGGGCTTTCTAGTTAGAACATAAGCTAATTTATCACTTTTTAAAAGTTAGCTATCTTTTCTCATCAACAGAGGGTAATACCGCCAAAACTAAAGTTTTGCGAACACTAGTGTACTTAAAATCTTTACATCCATACTCATCAGAATATTTCACTCTTTTTCTTTCACTTTAATGTGTTTCTAGCTCTGGCTATAATGCAATTGATAAGGTAATCTTTAGAGAGCCTTGCCCTCCATCTACTCCAATCTATGTAGTAAAACTGTTCAAACAAACTCATCAACATTTTTGCTTATTACACCAAATAGTATAATAGGAATAGTTCTTTCAATACACTAAATAATAACAAAACAACTTTAAGTCCGATGATAAAGATTTATTTAAAGCTATCAACTTTCAAAACAATCAAAATATAAAATTATTACCGTAGTAGCAAACAATGTTGGCGTAATATTATTTTTAGCATGTAAAGTGTGTACACAATATCGCGCCAATATTGTTTCCTGCTCAGAAATGTAGCATAAAATAATAATTTTGTTAACAATATAATTTTTATAGATCTTTTTAGTGAAGTTAGTTAAAGTAAAACAATATATGTAAATATATATATATATATATATATATATATATATATATATATATATATATATATATATATATATATATATATAATATATATATATATATATATATATATATATATATATATATATATATATATATATATATATATATATATATATGTATATCACTTTTACCATATATTAAGTAATACCACTTTTTTATTATCACTGGTATCTTGTTTAGACTGAATCTCAGCATCAAACAAAGACAATAGACTTTTGTTTTATTTTGTTAACTTTTTATAAAAAAAAAAATTGACAGATTTTTTTTTTTCCTTTTACTCATATAAGTCGGGCAATTTCTAACATTTTATAATCACTAGTAAATTTGATACAAATGTTTAAAAAAAATAATTGTTTTTTTAAAATAGTTTATATATTTTGAATTTTGTAGTAGACAATCTATAGCCAATATAAAATTTCCTCTATAGTAGTTTCAGTTTTGAGTGTGAAAAGTAAGTTTTTCTTGGTTAACTACTCCAATAGAAACAACAAGCCTCCGTGGGCCAAAATTGTTCAACGTTATTTTTGCGTCATGGGTTTCTAAATTGTAAATCGTAGTTGATAAAATTTTTCTTTTTGTTATAGGTGAGGTGGATTGTACAATGCGTCAATTTCCTTTGCTTAGCTAACATTGTGCAAGGATGTTTTCTTCTTTGCAGAAGAAAAAGATTTCTTCAAAATCTTTTTCTTCTGCAAAGAAAAAGATTTTGATTGCTTGTGGAAAGATTCAAATCAGTGATTATGAACTATATTTGTACTAGTTTCACATGATATCATTAGTGGAAGATTTACTATTTCAGTACTATTTTTACGCTCATTAACACAAATAAAACACTCACATTTCCACCTAGAACAATTTTAGGATAAAGATCTAAAAGTAATAAGAAGTAAATTTTTTAGTGTAAATACAATTTTGTTTATAAGCACAACAAAAATAATGCAAAACATAATTCGTTTTTATTGGCTTATTTTTTATTAGCTTATTTTTTATAGGCTTACTTTTTTTATCAAACTTACTTTTGTACTTAGGTCGAGCGTTGAATAAAAATTGTTTTTCAATCTGTTTTTTCTAAACTCATTTTTTTTCTGCAATAGGAACATAATATATTAGGCAGATCAGGGTTTTCAACAGAGTAGTTTTCCCAAAAAAATCACTTATCAAGATTTTCATAATTTATTTCTTGTTTTGGTTTAATGCATGTGTAATGTTTAATGAACCTGGTTTTATGCATTTGGTTTAAATGCATATTAAATCATTAATTTTCTTTATACAGAATATGCAAAAGCATTTTAAAAACTCGTATTGATCTTTAGCAAAAAATGACATATCTTTTCTGTTTTCGAGAAATGGTTCCTATATTTTTCAATCGGCTCTTAAATTAAAGTCTCAGAGTCACTAAATGTCTTATTTAAATAGATAAATAAACTCGCTGTTATTTCTTAAATGTTGTTAAAGTCTTCTAAAACAAATAATAAGAAATAAGGTCTTAGGCCACCTTCAGGGTACCTTTTTTTCAAATTGTTAAGTTCACAAAGTATGTTTAGTTTTGTTTACGAAACCTTTTTAAAATATATAAAATTATTAAAGTGTAACATAAAACTTTTTTCAAATATAATTTCAAAACTAGTCTAATCTTTTTTATATAAAAACTTTTTTATTTTAATAATAACGCGCTGCATTTGAAAAAAAAGAGAAATGTTTAGGGGTCGTCGATAAAGTACGTAGGCCAAGAACTCTGATATTTGACACCCCTCCCCCCTATTGCCGTACGTATTTTTAATTCTCCACCCCCTTAAAAAGTACGAACGTTTTTCATGTACCCCTTCCCCTTAATAAAAAAAAAAAAGTTGGAGAAGATACTCTAAATACTTTAAAACTATCTTGGGTACCTTCTACACCTTTTTTATTTCAATAAATTTTTATTTAAAAACAAAAAATAGACGGGTGGTGAAAAACGTACAAAGTATTTTAACGACCCCAAAGCCCCTTGTTAGCGGCAAAGGATCCCTATTGAAAAAAAAAAATATCATTAAATGTATACAAATATAATTTTAAATAAAACTAAATCTTACAATATCAAAGAGATTGTGGGCCGAGTAGATAATGTTATGAAAAGTGACAGCAGAGATCCAAGTTCGAATCCAAGTAAAGTCCTATTTTACTGGGATTCGAACTCGGTCTATTAGCCATTGCACAGCTGAAACCTGTTTTTTGTTGAGTTAACAATCTATTTTTGGCCCTGGGTATAATCAGGGCCAGTACATAAGGGGTGGCATAAGCGCTTGCAGGATTTTTTGATGTTCCAGATAGGACATTTTCATAAATTGTGCAAACTCCAAACTTAAGTATGTTTATACCTTATGAGGATACTTTGTAAAAAATTGGGATGGCGGAGTCCTGTCAACAAACTACCCTGAAAAGCTTGCCCCCGCTCAAACATGAGGGCACTTATGTAGTAAAATTTTAACATTAACGATCTAAAACTAAATTCAAATTTATCGACAGAATTTAAATTTCGTTAAAAAAAAGTGTAAATTACAAAAGTTATGTATATGCAAAATGTATTGCCCCTCATTTATTTATTTTTTTGGGGGTCTGGGGTCGGAAAATTTACTTCATTAATGCTATCAACTTTGGGCAATTTTTTGTAGAGCCTCATCAAATGGTATAGGTATAATGTTAAGTTTGGAGTTGTGTGGAAGTGGTTTATCTGGAACATCAAAAACTCCGGCGGGCGCCAATGCATGTGTGTGCATAGAGAGAAACTATACCTTTTACTCCCTATACAATACATCTTTTTATGTAAGCAAACTAGAATCTTTAGTCAGAATTTTAACTTTTCTATTGACTAGTTGGTAGTTTGTGTATAATTAGAAAATTGAAGTACGTGCTTTTAAATTAATTATCGCCCCCCCCCCCCATACGCATTTAGTACGCATTTTAAAGACCTTTCCCGTCCCCTCTATGAGCGTACGTACTTTATAGACAACCCCTTAGTAAGAAATTGAAACATTTTACTTAACAAATAATATTTTTAGGTATTCAATCTTTTTCAGAAAATTTATTTTCACGCAAGAAACTACTTAGTGAAATTCAACATTTTTTTAAAAAAGATGCAAACAACTTAACTTTAGTATTATATGGAATGTCGGGTGTCGGAAAGACACATATTGCAAGAAAATTTTGTGAAATATCTTATAACTTATATAAAAATATTGTTTGGATTGATGCAGCATTTGGAATGTTACAAACCTCAATGAGGAACCAATGCCAAATATTAGGATTAGAGGTTCATGATTCGAAATGAGATTATTTTAATATAAAAGTGATTATTAAAAAAGTTCACAACTATTTTAAAAATGAAAAGACTTTGTAAATTTTTAACAATGTCGACGATGAAAGTGTTAAACATTTGTCAATGTACATTTCAAGAAAACCAAATTCATTCACGTTGATTACTTCCCAATGGAGAACATGGTCATATAATGTAAAAAAAGTGCAAGTTAATGTTTCTTTAATTTTATTTTTTACATAAGCGAACGCTTCTGAAGAAGCGTTTGCTTATGAAAAAATAAAATTAAAGAAAACAGCGACGAAAACATTACAAACTTAATTACAGAAATTGGTTATCATCTGTTTGCAATTAGTCAGGCAATAAAAAATATAAATATACATAAAATTTCGATTAAAAAATACATAGATCGATATAGATCGAAACCATCAGAAATATTAGACAATAATAACTTTCGAACCGAAGTAGAATCAAAGTCTGCAATAAACGTAATTAACTTAGTTTTAATAAAATTAGAAAAAACTAAACCTTTTCCATTTAAAATAATAAACTATTTATATAATTGCGACGTTAAAGTCATCAGTAAACAATTTATAACACAAATCTAAAATTAAATGAAAACAAACAATGAATCTTTAATAGATGAAGCAATTAGATTACTAATGAGTTATTCTTTACTAAACTGTTTTAATGATAAAAAATATACAATACACAAGTTGAGACAGTTAGCATGTAAATGTTTTCAAAAGAGGAATTCAAATACAAATACATACCTTGATTTAATTGAAAGTTCTTTAAAAGTTGAATTGAATAAAGTAAATTATCACATGGATTTCGGAAATCATTTTATTTTTCATTTTATTTATATGTTTCGTACTAACGGAAATCAATTTTTCGAAGCCTTCCATCGTATGACGACTTCTATACAAAAGTTATTCATATGTAAATGTTTATTTGAAAAAGCAATTGAAATATTAAAAGCTGTTCAAAGTTTCAATACAGAAACTCATTGTAAAAATAACATAATCACGCTTGATACAAAGCATAATATCGCAAACTATTTGAATAATATGGGAAAATATAACAAAGCTGTAGAAATTTATTATTCTGTTGATAAAATAAAAAATGAAATGCGAGGTATTAACCATCCTTCTACAATAACAACAAATCATAATATCGCACTCTGTTTGAACAATATGGGAAAATTTAACGAAGCTATGGAAATTTATTATTCTGTTAATAAAATAGAAAATAAAATTTTAAGTATCAACCATCCGTCTACAATGGCAACAAAACATAATATCGCATTCTGTTTGAACAATATGGGGAAATATAACGAAGCTTTAGAAATTTATTATTCTGTTGATAAATTACAAACCGAAAGTTTAGGTATCAACCATCCAGATACAATGACAACAAAAAATAACATTGCAAGCTGTTTGTTCTTTATGGGAAATTATAACGAAGCTTTCGAAATTTATAATTTTGTTGATAAAAAACAAACTGAAATTCTAGGTATAAACCATCCAGACACAATGACAACAGTAGCCAGTGGATCTTCAGCTTATCAAGCTAGCTGTCCTCTCAGCCAAATCGCTATCTTTATCTTTAACAATATCGATAGCTTTTCGGTAATTTAAAAAAGCTAGCGATCCTCGCGGCCAAATCGCAGTCTTTATCGTAGCAATTATAGCTAGCTATTCGCTAGCCGATTTCTCACCGGGTAGTGTTGTGACCAAAACTAAAAATTGTAACTAAAAATTGTAAAAAAACCATACCTAAAATTAAAATTAAAACAACAGTAAAAGGTTTTATAATGGCATTTTTAAAAATTGTGCGATTCCTTTGATTAGCAAACCGACAAGAATTACTTAATCAAGTGCCTCTTTAATTGATAATATTTTAACCACTGATGTTTTTAACGAATCATTAAAAAAGGGCATAATTAAAAATGACATATCTGATCATTTTCCTATTTTCTTTTTTATAAATAGAGATAATAAATTAGTTCCTAATGAAAAACGAGTTTTCAAAAAGCGAATTTTTACAAATGAAAACCTTAAATCTTTTAAGGAACAATTATCTCTAATTGATTGGAGCATTATTAACACCTCTGATGACACAAAATTAATTTATAACTCTTTTTTTTAAACTTTCTATGATATTTACGACACTAATTTCCCTGAAGTTAATTCAAATCTTAAAGCTAAAAGTATCAAATTGCCTTGGATTACAAAGGGTTATCATAAGTCTTCAAAAATTAAACAAAAGTTATACATTAGTTACTTAAATTAATTACTTAAATATCTAAAAAAAATGAAAATAAAATTAACAAATAAAAATTACGCTAAACTTTTTGAAAGCCTCAAGAAAAAACACAAAAAAAATTATTATTTAAGTTTACTAGATATATATAAATTAAACTTTTAATGCACTTGGTTTATAATAAGAGAAATTACTGGCAGCAAAAAATGTACATCTCATTCTTTGCCAAACACGGTTAAACATAATAATGAATTTTTATATGATAAAAGACAAATTACGGAAGAATTTAATAAATATTTTGTGTCTGTAGGACCAAATCTGGCAAAAAGAATTCCTATAGCTAACAGTTTAATGAATGATCTATGTTTCCCTCAAAACTCTTACTTGAGCTCTTTTGAATTATTGTTTAAAGAGTTTGAAAATACCTTTAAAATGTTAAAATCTAACAAAGCAGTAGGCCCTAATGGTATTAATGGCAACATTATTATAAGTTTATTTGATGTACTAAAAGATATACTCTTTAAAATTTTTTCATTATCAATTAAACAGGGAATTTTTCCACAAGCTCTAAAATTAGCAAAAATCATACCAATATCAAAAAGTGGTGACATTTAGAATATAAGTATTTTATATACTTATATTCTAAATGTCACCTATTTCACTCCTTTCTGTATTCTCTAAAGTTTTAGAAAGAATTTTGTACAATAAAATTTATAGTCATCTTACTTTAAACAACCTATTATACAGCGATCAATATGGATTCCGAAAAAATAGTTCTACTGAACATGCCATTCTACAATTTACAAGAAATATATCTGACTCATTTGAAAATTCTCAATTTACTTTAGATGTTTTCATTGACTTGGCAAAAGATTTTGATAATATAGATCGCGAAATTCTTTTTAGAAAGTTGGAGTGGTACGGAATTACTGGAAAAATATTAATTTGGCTAAAAAGTTACGTAAATAATCTTAAACAATTTGTTTATGCGGATGATAACGTATCTTCTAGTTTGTTAAATATTTCATTTGGAGTTCCTCAAGGATCCATATTAGAACCTCTCCTATTTTTAATATATAATAATGATCTACCAAAAGCTTCTAACCTAATAAGAAATATGTTTGCTGATGATTCTAACCTATTTCTTTCTCATAATAGCATTAATCCACTTTTTAGTGTAATAATGTTAGTTTAAAATTAGTTTAAGCTTCCAAAGAAATCTAACAACTCTATAGAGTGAGCGTTAAATAAAATAATAAACAGAATACTTTATAAATTTTTTATTTATAATTATATTATTATTTACTTTATATTTATAAATAAACAGGGACTGAGCAGGCTGATATTTATTTGAATTAAATTGTTTATTTATTTTAAATAAATTTTGATGATAAATATAAGAGCTCAAATTAATCAAAGCTTCAACCTTTAATTTATTTTAAATAAAATTTAAAAGTCTTCATAACATCATAAGAAGAAATCAGAATATTGGTTTACATGTTTAATATATAAATTCAATTTAGAAGTATTCATAATATTAATAAAAGAACAAGGATAGTTATTATCGTTGTTTTTCTTTTTCTTTTAATTTATCTAGTTTTTGTTGACTTTTTTTTTCTTCAGTCACACTTGGAAGCTTTCAAAGTGTATGAGGACCTTTCCTAATTTTATTATTTTTTTCAAAATATTTTTACTTATTTATTATTATCCCCCCATAACAAGACACTTGGGAGTAAATAATACTAAGTATATGGTATAGACTCCAACTTTAACTCTGTAGTCCTAAATTTATAACTTAATTAGATACTGGCAATTAGCATATTTTTATAACTTGTCCCACAGTAGCTTATAACTTTAATTACTTAAATTTTTTTGCCGAAGCCAAAGATTCGGCAAAAAATTAACCTGTTTTCGGCATATATATATATATATATATATATATATATATATATATATATATATATATATATATATATATATATATATATATATATATATACACATATATATATATATATGTGTCTACGAAATCTTGTAAAAAATCAATCCTTGATTGATTTTTTACAAGATTTCGTAGTTTTAGATTTGAAGATTTGAAACAATAATAACTTTTTAACTTTTGTATCAAATACGATAATAAAGAAATATTTGCATTATAACAAAAAAATATAACTCGTAACTTTTGCGTAGTTAAATTATGTAAACGGAAACAGCCATTATTTTTTTAAATATTTTTTAATCACCATTTTTGTACTTACCAAATGGTGATGAGGAGCGGCTAATTCCTGAGTTTAGCTCCCTGTTTTGACTAGTTGAAAAATTTAACTTTACGTTTCGTCCGAAAAAATTTTCTCGTTGGCTGGATTTTTATATGCTTTGCAATAATTTCTGTAGGTTATGGATTTTTACTGACATCTGAAAGATGTTGATATGCTAACGTGTTTAGTGATCTTATTTTTTAAAATTTGATATTAACATAGACATTATTTAAAAAGTAGAAGAGTCGAACTTTTTTTTTTAGTGTTTTTTTTTTTTTTAAGTATCTAACATTTTTCTTGATTTTACTGTTGGTAAAAACTTAGTTGTTGATTTAAACTCAAACTTTAACCAAAGGTATGTAAGTTCATTTTTTAAAACTATTTGCAACTTTTTTCTTACCACCTGCCAAACTTCATCCAAATATTTGGATGTTCAAGTAGCTTTCTAGGATGCTCTAGTTGGGTATATATTTTCGGCAAAACCAATTCCAAACATAACCGGGGGAGAAGATAGCACTTTTTTTTTTTAATTTACTTATTTCTTTTTTATTATAACATTTGTTACATTAGTAAATATGTACATAACTTTTAACATAAGACAAAACTTAAATTATTCACAAATTAAATTATTGTCATCCCATCATACAAAAAATACAGTTTTTTGTTGTTAATTCTACTGTCAGTAATTAAAAACATCAGAAATGTTATCTGAAATGTAATGGTATAAATAGTTATTGTATTTGATAAGGTTTTCTTTACTAAGAGCTAAAGACCTAAGTTTAATTTCATATTCATTCAATAATTTAGCGATTAAATTATAGACAAATAAAATATGGTACAATTTTGATTTTTTTTTATACGTTGAAGAAAAATTTATTTGTGTTTGTAAATTGTTATTTTGTATATCTGTATTTACATAATATTAGGTACGCGATAATCGCGATTTACGAAACCGAATTTTGTGCTAAAATTTTGATCCACGCTTTTCGTAGTCTCTTCAAAGTTAGTGTGGTTGAAGAAAGCTGTGTGGAATAACTTTTTAATATTTATTATCAACATAGTATATTATCAACATAGCATATACTTGTATATTATCAACATAGTTATCAACATAGTATATACTTGCTTTATTAATGAGTTTATTGATGTCAAAACTTTGACATACTTGGTAATGTCCAAGATATGCTGCAATATTTTTCTTTCCTATTTTTTTTAAAAAGTTTTTTCATTTATCTATGCACCTGCCAAATTTCGTTCAAAAATTTTATGTAGCAGGCACCCTATTTATTGTCACACTTTTGGTACCTAATTTACATTTTCTTTTTTATTAGCGAGGGAGACAGAGAGGTCTATTGAAATTTTTTTTATATGTTTATATATATTTTTATTATTTTGATTTAGATAAACAATATCATTTTTAA